AATATATATATATATATATATATATATATATATAGAGCACAACAATATGTGTTTCTGTCCATTATCTGACTACACCTAGGTCACTGAGTCAGTCTCAACCAAACTTTGTGGAATGATAGTTTGGAACAAGAGGCATGTTAATGGGGATTCACAAACAACTCCTTCCACCCCCATTATTGCTGTTATTGAATATTTATTTTCTTTTACGTAGGTAAACGTTAATTATATTCATAGATGGCGCCACATTATTACAACAAAACAAAACTATTATTACATTTTCAGTGTGTGTGAGGGCACACAAACTTCTGATATATCTCAGAGCATTCTCCGTGGGGGAATGTAATGACAAAAAATGGTCGCCATTATTGCAATAATACTTTAACTCAAATGAAGTTTCTACTGCAACAGCCACCATGATGCTTATATGAAGAGCCATTTTTTGAGTTATACCCACTTCATGCTTTGACCCGTGATCTTTCAACTTCATTTCATAAGACACTTCTGCAGCCAATAACCGTCAATTATTTAACCACGTGAAACACAGTGAAAGGACATTAAGAGCTGAGTATTGAAAGTGTGTAACAGAAAGCACCCATACCTCCACTATTGTGTGTACTACATCTTCCTACAAAGTCACCCTGACCATTACACAGTGTATACCATGTTTTAAATATATACATGTTGAGTTATTAAAGCTTATACAAAACTTTCGGTGAGGTAATAATGAACAATGTAATATTATGTTATAAATAAATTGTGTGAAAGTTAGGAATTTTGTGTTATTTATCATAGCATCCACCCAAACATTTTTTTTATGTTCATAACCTGGTACCTCAGCTTGCAGATAATAACTCTGACATCATATACATAATACCATATCTGTGAAGACAGAATCACGTAGAATGTGTTTGGTATATGAAGACAGAATCATGTCAAATGTTTCCGTTAGAGTTTATATCAAGAGACAGAATCACGTAGAATGTGTTTGGTATATGAAGACAGAATCACGTAGAATGTGTTTGGTATATGAAGACAGAATCACATCAAATGTTTCCGCTAGAGTTTATATCAAGAGACAGAATCACGTAGAATGTGTTTGGTATATGAAGACAGAATCATGTCAAATGTTTCCGTTAGAGTTTATATCAAGAGACAGAATCACGTAGAATGTGTTTGGTATATGAAGACAGAATCATGTCAAATGTCTCCGCTAGAGTTTATATCAAGAGACAGAATCACGTAGAATGTGTTTGGTATATGAAGACAGAATCATGTCAAATGTTTCCGTTAGAGTTTATATCAAGAGACAGAATCACGTAGAATGTGTTTGGTATATGAAGAC